GGGGGATCATTTCTGGCTTCTTTTTCTTTACTGCTATATATTATATGATTTATATAAACATTCGTTTTGCGGAAAGATAAGAGGTGATTTTGGCTGTGCTTGACGATGTTTCTCTTTTTAACAGTAGTGCTGACAATTTTAGGTTTTCCCTTCTTGCGTGTATTTTATTTTACTTGCTTATTCTTTCCATGCACACCCTCTTTTTTTTTTTCGATTCCCGTGTTACAATTAGATTTAGATCTATATTCTATTGAATTGTGGAAAGGTGAGTTTCTTGTCCAAATAATTGGAATAAAATATTTCAAAAATGCATAATTTCAATGCTCCTGTAACGTGTGCCCAGTACGAAATGTCCAGGTTTGTGATTATTTCTAAAGATTATGTTACCTATATACTATCTAATTCCTCTGCTCCTTCTAGTTACTTCCCACTCCTCCCAGCCCCGCACCAGTTCCGGGTGAAGTACTTCTACAGTAACATTATGTATGGCTTAATCACACGCCTTGCTGAAATAGTAGGCGGAGCTTCGTGGGAACAGCTTATTAGAGAGAACCTGTTTGAGCCACTGGGCATGGAGAACTCGACGTTTCTGACGGACGTGGACTGGAGTGGGAATAATGTGGCAACAGCGTACTCCTTCGAGAAAACAGGGGAGATAATCCGGGTGCCTCATGAATTCTCAAGGTAAGAAGAAGAACGTGACTTGTGTTCCGCTTTTATTCTAGATCTAAAATCTATATTTTAAAGGAAATTACGTTTGACTACCACTGCACTGTTGCCCCATTCGAAGATGAAGTTGAAGTGTTAAGTTCCCTAACAGGACAACAGTTAGCGTGAGAAATTGACAGGAAGTGGAAGACATGAAAACTTCGTTGAACATTATTTTGATTCGAAGTTCGAATCTTGAGCTTTCATTTATTGGCCAAATTTGAACCCAAATATTCCAGACATATCCCAAATCCAGAGCGCACATCTGAATTAGGGAATCATGATAAAAATAGTTTTAAAATCTTAGAAAAACACGCCAACCGTAATAACGGAACTCAGCAGGGCCTTGCGGTCAGCTAGTGCTAGTTGTACTGTAGAACATGGCTATAGCGGCGCTCGCTATAGCAGGACCATCCCTACATCGGGACCTTACCGGAATCCCCGTTTTTATTCCTATGATTGAGTAGGTGTTTTTCGGCACTGTCGACGTTTTCTTCCTATGTAAACTCAATTACTTATGCTTGGATATAACGGGGCAAGGAAAGTCCCGAACTCGGATACAGCGGGAGAGATCGAGCGAGCTCTAGCTTGGGGGGGGGGGGGGGCTGTAGGCGGGCTCCAAACAGGCAGTCGACGTTGCGATTGGCGGATCCAGGGATGAGTGAGGTGGGGCAGGCGGTAGGCCTAGAGAGAAATGGCGCAGAGAGAGAGAGATGGTGTGGAGAGACGTGTTGCGTGAACCACTCCAAACGTATGTAGATCTGTTAATAAAGTGTTATAGGCCTAGCGGCTAGGCCAAAAAGTAAAATAAGAGCAAAGCGTGTAGTGCGTGCTTCCTGGTTCATTGAATTGCGATCGTTGATGCTCAAGCATACGCACGTGTACACTTCACCAGTTCTACAGTAGGCCTACCGGTACGATAGACAGCACAAGCAACAAACCGAGGAAAAGATGGCTTCCAACAAAGACAAAAGGAAATGCTTTTCACTCGGATGGAAGGCCGAGATAATCAACAAAATTAACAAGAAAAGGAAGACTAATCCAAAGGGAAAATTGTTTTGATATGGAGGGATGTAATCATGTCTATTTTAAAGAAAATTTCCGGTAATCTCCCCTTTGCATTCCTATTATAGCGGGAACTCGCCTACAGCGGGATTTTTTTCTGGAACCAAAAGTCCCGATACATAGCCATGTTCTACTGTATTGAGCTGAGATAAAATGTTACCATCATTTGCATGGGTAGTATCAATGTCTCATACCAGGCGCTGGGCTCTTCTGGCGGGTTCCGGGGCAGTGATGACCACTGCTAACGACATGACACGTTGGATGCATTTCCACTTGTACGGAGGGGAGAATCCAGGCGGTCGGCAGGTCATGAAAGAGAAACACCTGGATGAGGTGCACGAACCTCGCTTTTTGATCACTCCGACTGTGAGCAAGGACACGCGGGTTCCTCGGTTCCCCGTCACTTCCAGCGAGGATGTTTACGCTCATGGATTTAGGAGAGGTTACTATCGAGGTATGTTTTATTATAATGATTGTGCTTGGTGTTATAGTTATAGTATGATAGGGCTATGATCGATGTATGTATAATGCTACATTGTGCTTGAAATGATAGTATTAGTATTGATAGCAAAGGATTCATTCGTTGTATTGTAAACTGTGTCTTAGGCTACCTGGCACAAGGAGAAGCTTCATGAATAGAGTAGGCTAGGTGCCCTGTAACTTAGTATAACTCATTGAAGACCAGACATTTTCGCATCGGGTAGGCCCATCAGATATAAAAATAAGGGTCATTCATTACACATGATGCGTTGCGCTTTCTGGTAGTAATGGTGGCTTTCTGGTAGTAATGGTGGCTTTCTGTCCGATTTAATATCATCACTTGTATCACTAATATCAGTTGTACATATATGTACTACTTTACCACAGAGTGCAGTTTACGTAGAACTGAATTCTACGGCTTGTGTGTGTGTGGGATTGGGGGGGGGGGCAGAGTTAAATGTGAGTGTCACGGTTTCAACATTTGGGACATTTAAAACGCTTTACAACATTGAACTAAGTACCCTTATAATGTACGTTTTGTCACAAGCCAAAGGTGTTGATTGAATTGCCTTCCTTCTTCCAACAACCCAGGTTATGAGAGGTTGACACACACTGGCTCAACTATCGGATACCGCGCCATGTTATCTTTGCTGCCCAAGCATAAAATCGGGGTGTTCACCGTCATGACTGGCAAGGACGACAGTTACAAGTACCGAGTGCCTCTCCACATGTATCTACTAGACAGGGCGTTGGGATTCCAGTCCTGGCTTAATAGTTCTACCATCTGCTCCTATCCAAAACCATGGAAAACAGCAAAGAAATCATCCCCGCCCCCTAAATTGGACGCGAGTCTCAAGTTGCAAAGAGACATTGAGGAATACGAGGTTTACTTTTGTGTAGTTACTGTAGTATCTGGTTAAAACTAAAGAGCGCCCAGTGTATGTGGGTGGGTGTATGCGTGTATGCGTGCGTGTGTGTGTGTGTGTGTGTGTGTGTGAGAGAGAGAGAGAGAGAGAGAGAGAGAGAGAGAGAGAGAGAGAGAGAGAGAGAGAGAGAGAGAGAGAGAGAGAGAGAGAGAGAGAGAGAGAGAGAGAGAGAGAGAGAGGGGGGGGATACATGAACTCAGTTCAAATCGAGGTCGAGCATAAGCACTGTCCTTCAGTCATTACATGTAGGCTTATCTTTTCAACAAAACAAAATAAATATTTGGTCTTTGTTGTACAAAGCATCCTGCTGAGTCACATATGTCTTGAATAGGCAAGGACCTGAAAAGTTCTATAAACAGCGTTCAAAGTCAAAGGCAGCACCGCAATCAAAAACTGTAGCAACTAAGACAGTAGATAGTTACTTGTAATTGTGTAGTCAAGGACTTGTGTTCCCAAAGCATCCTCATCTTTTGTGTCAGTCTGATATTAACGACAGTTATAGTGACTTTCTGTCCGATTTTATAACATGTGTACATATGTTATTGTAATACTACTACTACTACTACTACAGAGTACAGTCTACGTAGAACTGAATTCTGCAGGTTGGGGGCAGTTAGGTGTCATGGTTTAGGATACCGACGTAGCGACGCTTTACACTATTTACATGTCATGTTAGTGTGTTAGTCTATTCCCCCAGCCCCGGCCCATCCCAGTAGATCTATTACATGTTATTAACATTAGTATTCTTGTATTCTTGACTGCAATGCAACCTCCCCCCCCCCCCACTCCCAAGTTTTAGTATCAGTGAAAGTAAATGTCCGGTTCAAAACCATAACACATTTTATTGTACTTTCCACTTGAACAGGGCACCTACCACAACCCAGCCTATGGCTATCTAGAGATCAGCTACAACAAGACCTTGACTTCACTGGTCATGACCTTTGGCTGGGGCATCTGGCGCCTTTTCCCTCGACCAAAACTCAGTGGAGATAAGTTCTATGGAGACGGGTTGGACATCACAGTAGCATTCGACATTAGTCCTATTGAGTTCCTGGGCGCCTCCGACAACGAGACCCACATTGTGGCGGTGAAAGCCACCGCCTTTGAGCCCACAGTCCCACCGGTGTTTGAAAAGGTTGGCTTAACAAAACCTGGGAATTTCTCACCTGCCTTTGGCTGTTCATCACTGACATATGCTAGCTCATTCATTATGGTGATCTGGTTAATGACACTCCGAGTCCAAGGAGAGTTCTTCTAATTCCAACACTCGTCCTGACGCATCAGACACCATGAGCTGTTTATAATCAACCTAGCCTTGTACCGGTATTACTTTTGGAAAATGTATTTTTACTTTAATAAAAATATACAAACATTATATTACAGATTTATCCACACCAATTTATGCTACTGTCAGCGATGTTAGTCCCCACCTTTTTAATCTCATTCTCAGTTATTTTAATGCAGGTGCTTTACTTTCAATTTTTAGTTTGAGTAAAGTAAAAGATTTACGGCCCTTACAACACAAATAGGTCACAATCATCATATTATGAAAGCTGGAGAATAGAACTTAGAAGTGTTACTTGAGGGTAACTTACAAAGAAAAGGAGAGACAAGAATGATAGATGTTTGGAAAGCTGAGTTCATGACAAATCATACAAGGGTGCCCGCCAACTACTCACGTAGGTGTTTTATGCCATTAGTGGGTAACATCAGGAGTAGGCGGAGTGGGCGGAGTGGGCCATAGTTGCCAACAAAGCAGTCAAAAGTCTTACCAATGGAGGGGATCTCTGATTAAACATCAATCTGTAAAAGGACAAAGGCACCCCAGCTCTTTACGCAGCTTGAAGAGAGCACAAGTGACATAAGAACAATGTAATGGGAACAAGAGATTGAAAATCTATTAAGAATTCTACAGCAAAATAAGAGTCAGTTAGACTAGAGGAAAGAAATTTTGAGACAACCAGCCAGGCTCAATAAGAGCTTCAAGCCATGCAGACCAGGTTAGTAGAGGTCAACTATTTCTTCCATTTTCAAACCCTTGGTTTCAAGGATCAAGTATCCAGAATTCTTGAACAAGGCTGAAAAAAACGTAAGGGTCTTGGGGAAGCATGGTGCAAGTTAGAAACACCTCCGTCGTTGAAAGTCCACATAAATAGTTGGTTACTTTGGCAATATTGTTGATCAATTCCTCTATCTAAATCTGGGGGGGGGAAAAAAACAACTATGGTCAACAACCCCAAAGGAAATTGACACAATGTAAAAAAAAACAAAAAAAAAACATTGAAAGCTGAGGTCATGACAACTTTTTCAAACAACAATGGAAAGTTTAATGAAAATGTATCATTATTATGGTATGAAGTAAAGACAAATCAGGCGATTTTGAACATTGTAATTTACATTGCACTCCTTGAAACACTAAAAGTGAGCAACCCAGAAGCCAAATAATAACTTGAACAGTTCAACTAAAATGAGTCATGTACACAAAAAGGAAATATTGCAATGAAAGAAAAATGAGTAGGCTACCATAACTCCGTTTTTTAAACGGGTCAGATGGATTTACTCATTTTACTCTTGATACAGCAACCACATATCTGAGAACACATTATTCTTGTTTAGCCCTTTGAGCCAATACGCCGGTGGCACATATGCCTAATCACAGGTACAGCAGTGAATGAGACCCTATCCCCACACCAGCCCCCCTGGGACAAAACGTGTGAGGGAAACGGTGTTTATTAGACAGGACGTTACAGATTATTTTGAAGATCTTTCTGAACTTGATGCTGGTAATGACGAAGACTATCATGGGTGGGATATAGAATGTGATTCTGATGATCACATGAATGTTAGTAATATATCGCTCAGGAGCTCAGGCAGAGGGGTATAGTAGCATCAGCAGGTCAGGGCTCAAAGGGTTAAACAGACTCTTCAACTCATCTTACTGGGTGTTTCAGATTCATCCAAGAGCAAAAGTAAGGATATCAAAATATCTTTAAAAGTTTAAGATATACTTAAACTCCATGACTGAACCACTCCAAAGCAACTTTACAACATACATGACTTAGGGGTTGTGAAATAAAGGGCATCTTCAGTATACTTTAAACAATGTAGAGTAACATACGGATGTGGAGTCATGTCAGAACACTAATGGCTTCCTAATCTAATGGTGTGTACAACATGACACTTCAGTTTTGAAAAAAATACACTAATCCATGCAGATGTTTGGAGGGCGCCACTGGTAGGTAGGTACTACTTCTTTACTTTCCCTCTGTTGTTTCTGTCTGTCTGACTTACTTTTTCCCAGCATTAAATGACCAGTGTCAAAGTACTTCTCTTTACCTAAACAAACACTAGTCTATCAGGAGTCAAATACAATCGAACCCTGTTATACAGAGCATTAAGTTGGAAGTACAGCAGGGCCAGTGGTATAATGGGATAGCAACAATTGTCATCATGACTGGTGGTAGACTGGTAGAGGAGAGAGACAAGCAACAAACCGTGGCTAGTCTTGTCTCATCTTGATCTGTCTTGAGCGATTGCCATGCACAGGGGAATAAACCAAACATGTTGCAACCAATTACATGTTCATCTCCCCCTAACCTTTATCTAAAATCAAATTTCATGAGGTTGGACAATAGAGATGGACACTGGAAGGTTATGTTCTCTATGTACTGACAGATTTTGTTCTCACTGAGTTTCTAACACAGCTTTTTTCAACATTTGATGTTTTTAACAAATACTTTGAAAAAACAAATCACATGTACACCAAATTCTAGACAGCCCCAAGGGAATTGTATGCTCTTTGGCCTTGAGTGATACTCATTAAAAAGATAAACAGCAGTCCGTACAAGTAGAAACTAATACATGGATCTACATTATACAAATCATTCTGACTATAAAAATATCTATTACTATTCTGCATAAAAACAACTTCAGATCACATCCCAATTTGATATCCAACTAACATTTATACTCAGCCTCCATAGATCCTCATTGAGCAATTACCAAATGATATTTGTCACTTGCTGCAAGATGTTTTGTCAGAACTAAAATTGATGAAGTTGCTCAGAAAAAACAAAGAACTGACTGACAAAACACAGAACAGGAAACACTTAAAGCAGGTTTAACGAGGGAATATTGAACAAATTTGTAGGTATACATGACATAATGCAATAGAAGTTGACACGAGAAGTCTACAAATCGTACTGCTTTGGAGTTTTGATTCTACGTGTACGAGTGGAGGCTATTGTAGGCAGTACAGGTTTGGAAGTGGCTGTGTAGGAGGATATGGTGGTCTTGCTGGCTCTGGTAGCTCCCGAACTAGACTGACTCGGGTTTGGTGATGATGACGTCGATGAAACTGCAGAAGAACTTGACGGCGACGGTGCAGACAAGCGACTCATGGCCTTTGATAAGGGGCTGGGTGAGTCTTGTCCTCCCTGACTCGGTGAAGACAGGATGGAGGAACCACGACGCTGATCACCAAGAGTAATTGGACTTGACTCAAGAAGCGAGGTCACTTGTCCAAGAGTCTCAGAGGTAGTGGCTATCACCATCTGAGGGGAGCCAGGCTTGCTGCTTCCATGGGACAACAAAGTGTGAGATGATGGGCTCTTGTACTGCAGGACTATCTGGCCTGGAGAGTAACTTGCTTTGCTAGCTGGTGTCATCACCAGTGTGGACAAAGTGGACGTAGAACTTCTACTTGGACTCTGCTCTGTTGACTGAGAGAGCTTTTTCTCTGATTCTGATTTGGAGAATGAAGAAACGACAGAGGTCGAGTCTACTTGCTTAGTGCTGGAAGCCAGATCATGAAGATGAAGGATTTGTTGCTGTAAGATACGCTGTTTTGCATCAACATCTGTTTGGTCTTTGGTAAACGTCACAACAGTAGCTGCTGAGTCTTTTCTCGACGGAGCCAGTTGAAGAGTGATGAGCCCAGAAGGGGAATTGATAGTAGATAGAAACTGTGTTGTCGGAGTCACTGTGAGACCTCTGTGGGATATTGGTGTGAGATTTTTACTCGAGTCTGTAGAGGGAAGAAGCTGTAGGGATCTGGCTGTTGATGTTGTAGTGTGAGTGGATGGTGTCAAACTCTCTAGAGGCGTCTGCTGCTGAGCTAACAATGACTGACCTGAAGGAACTTCAGGGCTACCTACTTGTCCTCCGAGTAGCGCCCTTTCTGGAGATGTGCCAGATAAGCCTTGCAGCTGTTTGCTGAGAGGAATGAGGGAAACTTTCGGAGGAGAATTCAGTTTCAGGACGTTCGAGCTGCTGCTGGAGGCAATCTGGCCGAGGTCAATGCTGACAGTTCCAGGGGCTGGAACATTGCCAGGTGGGCTCTCCTTCATGGATACAGAGTCGTTGCCCATGTTGAAAATAGATGCCCCCGGCGAAGTGTGGACTGAGCTACTTACTGACACAGAGGTAGAGCCAGAACAACTTGGAACAGGGCTTGAAAATGTGGACAGTGGAGGTGTACATGATGAGGTTAAAGATGAAGATACAGACGACGTGTTCCCTGCCGAGACTTGGAGAAGCTGACTAGGTGCAGATGAGCTGCTGGAAGCTGTGGTCGTTGAGGAGGTCACAGGAGATGAAGCAAGTAGATGTTGGATCTGAGAGGTACCCATTAGACTGTCTCCTAACTTCACCCCAGAGGAGGTTTTCAGCACTTTACTGGCCATGCTGAATGACAGAGGGATTGAGAAAGGCTCAGACGTTGGTCCCGCTCTTATCAGAATTTGCGGTTGCTGTTTGGGGCCAGATGTATTGAGGGTGTCCACAGTGTTGGTCAAAGAGGCATTTAGCTCTGCAGATTTAATTAAACTCGTGTTTCTTAACAAAGCTGAGCTAGCTAAAAACCTTGACAGACCCGAGGCTGCTGAAGAGGAGGAAGCTGAGCCCGATACTGAAGAAGCTGGAGTCTGTGATTGAGCTGAGTTGGTTGTCGGTGCTGAGGTTGAGATAACCTTGGCAGGGGAAAGAGTGGACACAGTGTTACTGCTTCTGCTCAGACTTGTTCTGATACTCTGGAGAAGATTTGACAGCTCTGGAGCAGAGGCAATGGCAGCCGCCTCACTGACAGATGACACTGCTGCTGTGCTGGTCGTGGTGGTCTCCCCTGGAACAGATGTCGTGGGAGAAGACGGAAAACTCAGATGGAGCAAGGGCTTTTTGCCAAAAACTGCAGGATCTCCTCCAGACTTAGACGCTTTCTTCTTCGGGGATGCCCTTTTGGCTGACGAGAGAAAACAAAATTCTTTGGCTATATGCATATATGTAAGAAAAACAAGTCAAAATAAGTCAAGACATCCTATCAAAACAATTTAACTTTATTCCTGTTTTGAGACAATTCAATTTGGTTCAAGCAAAGGATTTTAATTTTAAAAACTATGAACAAGATGTCTTTCACAAGAACAACTCAACGTTTACTTTACCTTTATTACAAGAAATATGTTTTGAGCACGAACAGAATGTTTTGAGCTTTTAAATAGAAAATGGATTGTGTTTGGATTATTCTTCTGCACATACTTTAGAACATATCAATGTAGCAAGCTCGGTCAGAGGAGAATAAATCTGCTGTTCATTGTAGAAACAAATTTTCAAGTGCAACAGTATTCTTGTGAAGTGCACTGAAATTTGAACTTTTAATAAATGTGAGGACAAAATAAGACCAGGAATGAAATCCAGACATCTGAAAGCTATAACTGTAACACGGTTGACCAATCTGACTGGTCAATCAGATCAATGATTCTTTAATCCCATCAGACCGTATTCATGGTACACCGGAAATGCATGAATCGCCAACTATGCTGGATTCCTGGTATACAGGTAATTGAGAGTTATCAGAAAATCATGTCACAGTCTGCCAATCAGCTCTTAACTTCACATATAGCGCAGGAATTGATTATAAATTGAAAAAGGTGGACTCCATGCGGTTGAACTGCAGTGTTATTTTTTCAATGAAATATTGCATTTTAACTCATTCGCTACGCCGAGCCGTGGGGGGCAGCGCGGCTAAAGTGCCATCAGTACGCTAAGCCGCCCCCGGCGGCTCGAGAACCGATCTTCAATTTTAGCTTAGATTCTATTCCAATCCACATATCCATGTTAAAATAAAGGTCATAATACAATGTTGACTTCCGGGTCAAGCATTTCCACTGAAAATCGGAAATTTAGATTCAGTTTTGAAACGCGATTTCGTAGTTTATTCCACTTTGTTTTATCGCAATGCCAAAATTATAGTCCGGACACCAGTCTTAGTAATTTTACACAACAAAAACTATCATTATTTTGCCGACTAAAGAAATGTAGGATTCTTTTTTATAATATTGCTACGACTGGACTCATATTGATGTGCACTGTTATTGAGAAATCAATATTTTTGAGTGCTAGATCTAGATGTAGATCTCGAATCTAGATCTAAATTGTCAAAATATTTTTTTCTCCCAAAATCACTACTTTTTGATGAAATTACATAAAAAATGCCACTCAAGACATGTATAGGTTTATTCAAAATGCAATCCTGAATAATTCCATATAAGATACGAGTGGGTTTTTTCTGTTTGTGATCGTTTTTCAAGATTATAAAAAGTTTAATTGTTTTTTCAATATATCCGATGTTATGTTCAAAATGTACAAATATTATGGAATATAGGTAAATAACTGCAAACTTTTCAACATTTTCCAGTTCTATATATTCATTTATGGTTATTTTGATATATCATTTGACCAGGTGTAAACATATTTTTTGAGTTTCACCAAAGATTATTAATTTTTTATTTTCAAATTATATCCGCATCCAATCAAAATTGTGTTTCATAATCGTCTCTTACAGGAACCAACGTTGAAAAATACAAAAATAAACATTACAGATGTATTCTACAAACCATACTGAAAATATTGGTATAAAATACGTTGATATTTATTCGAATTTGTGGCCCCAAAGACCTTTTAACTGCGCACTAGTCATCATCTCATTCGCCCTCCCGAAAAAAAAATTCGTCTGCAAGCCGAAAATAATATGTAGCGAATGAGTTAAAAATCACAATGCCAGGTGCTGATGAACAAAGCGCTTTGACAGGAAAGAGGGCTAGGTCTCAACAGTTTACCACACAGGAAGTGCTTGAAAATGTTTCTGATTAAGAACGGGACCTTGATCAGGACTATAAGAGCAACACTAGTAGCGCTGATGAAAGCATTGATAGTTGCTGTGATGAGGATTCAGTTTCAAATTCACATGGAATTATATCTAAACCTGGATCCAGCACTGGAAGAAGGAGGTGCGGCCCTGTAAGAGCTTGGTAGGGGTGATGATCACTGATCATAAGGATCCACAATGGACTTATCACTTTACTGAGTAATCTATCCTCAATTTCAATGTCAACAAAGAATAATTAAGCACAATGAACATGCCGGAGAGAATGACAAGGGACAATGATCCTCTAAAGTTTCTCAGTTTGATTGCCGATGCAGAGTTCTGGACACAACTTATTGAAACGACAAATCTTCATGCACATCAAGGATGAGGGACAGGCCAAATGCTTATCATGCAAAATCATTCCAGGATGTAACTGAATCAGAGATGAAGGCTTTGTGGGCATGCATATATTAACATAAAATATTTGTGCACAAAACCCAACTATGGTGCAGATTTCATCAGCTTTACTCCAGGGTTCTGCATGTCGGGGGATTACTTTCTTTCCCTGTATTCTTTTCCACATAAAATTGACGAGGAAGATGAGTCAATTGATCAAACTGGCATGTACAAAGTCAAGTCCATGCTGGACAGTTTTCTTGTAAAGTTTAAACTATAATAATAAATGACATTTATATAGTGCTCAACCCCAATTAAAGTACACAGGCTCTGAGCGCTTTACAATACAGTACAAACTTACAACAGTAACATAAAATGTTGTGTTCTGACTAAAAGAAAATCACTCCAAATATTAATCTTATTGACTTTTATCTAATCATTTCGCCACCATTATAGACCAGTCAAGCATCCAAGTATGGGCAACAGGATGATCCCAACAAAGCAAACGACTAGCAACAAAGCAGTACATCAAGTTAAGCTCACTAAATGGGCACTTAAGTCTTTTCTGTTGTATGAAGAGGAAGAGTGCTTGTGTAGTCAGTGCCAAGATATATATACGGCAAGTGCAGAAATTGTCGACACAACAATGAGTGACACTGGAAACACCATCGTTCATCTAGTGATGTCATGTGGCCTCAATAACAAATGTTTTTGTGATGGACCATAATTATAATTCTGTTGTTCTGGCTAAATATGCACTGAATGAGCTCGGTACTGGAGTAGAAAGGACCATTATCCTCATCATGACTAACAATTTAAGAACTTCCCAAAATCCCTGAAAAAACCAAAAGAACCCAACTTAAATCAGGGGAAAGCTGATATCTGTATCAAGACCGTATTACATGCATGGGGTGGCAGGACAAAAGACCCATACACATATTTATATATCAAACTGCCATGATCCAGAAATAACTGAAATTGCTTCAAGAAGAAACAAAGATGGGACAGTTCAAGAAATGAGCATGCCAATACTCGTCAAAGATAACAATATATCTCTACATGGGTGCTTGTGATAATAACAACCAAATCAAATGACTGCATAGAAGTCAAGAAGTACTACAGATGGCCATGGCAACTCTTTGTGAAGTTTTTTAAAAATATGTGCCTGTTCCAATGCTTACGTCCTATGCAGGCAAGATTACAAGCAGATTTCAAGAAGCCCATATACTTCACAAGATACATTAAAAAATTTGCCTAGCCTTGCTGCAGAACATCGTTCAACAACCATCCTGCACATTCGCAAAGAGCCCTGCCCTTCCAATGGGCGTCATTTCCCCTAATGTTCCTGCTAATACAAAAAAACTTAATGATTCAAAAGGCAAAACCCAGGAGTAGCCTGTAAGGCCAGTGAAACCGGTAAAAAAACTGTACAGTGATCTGCACTTGGTGTATGTAAAAAGTATCTTTTTGTCAAGTGCGATTCACAATGTTGAATCCACTGGCATACAAAGGAAGAATACTGGCGTTAGTTCAAAGGTAGGCCTCTTATCTGTATTTTGACCAAATTTCATGTGTTCCTGCTCACTTATTTGCTCATACTAACCACTTTCATGATTTATATATGCATTCTGGCACATCTTTTGCTCAGGAGGCTAGATATTGAGAGAAGTTAGGGTCAGCGGGGCAGGTCTGACAGGGTTGGGACATACTTTCAAATTCAATATATGATTTCATTAGGTAATGCTTGCTTTTTTTTAAAACTCTGATTATTCTAACTTGATCATGGGGACAAATATCTCATCTTTTCATGACTCTAGATCATCTGAATCTTAAGTACAGACTATTGTATGGTGCATTCTTCAGTAAGTCGTTATGGGAGGAAAGCCAGCAAAGCATCTCTGTAATAAATAGACATAGAAGATCTTGAGCCCTGACTGCCGTTATCTGTGTAGCCACTGGAAAACAGGTCTATGGGGAGGAGGGGGGAGAGATAAACAAAAACAAAGAAAACACGAAATGAGGATCAACGAGGTTTTCAAGTAGAGATAGTAGAGATAAGCAAGAAAAGACAAAGCCTGAATAGACATCAATGGAAGTGAGAAGCGCTGAAAGGTGATGTATATGTGAAAAATGAGATTTTAAAAGTTGCAAAAAGAAAACTACATAAACAGTTGCCGAAAATATTTAGAGTTTCACTGAAAAAACATGCTGTGTATTTATAAGAACCTTATAGGACAAAAGCAAATGAGTATAGCTTTACGAAGCGACAGATTTGCTGAGGGAGGCTGTGCAGGTGATTATTTACCAATTTTTCCAGGTGCTGACACAGATACCTGACCACTCAACATGCTGGTAGACGAGCTCGACAAGGCCAAAGCCTTCGCAACTTTGAGAGATGACTGAAATAGTTTGACACAATCAGTCAGTAGCCCGAAAATAAAAAATACACTCTAAAAACCTCTTTCATGTTGGTGGATTGTGTATTGATAAAGTATATGCACAACAATATTTTAAAAATCTTGTCAATAACAACTATCTTTATAATTTTTTTGTTAAAATCAGCATATATGGAGATAACTTAAATCTTCTTATAATACAGATGCTTCAAACGAAAAAAGAGATTCCACAATATCATCATACAATTTTTTTGTTAAATACGTATTATCATCAAACGCAATCTTTTGAAACATTTGAGCCTTGCAATTGTATAGTATCAAAACATACAATAACTATTGATGTATGATCTCACTGATAAAAGAAGAATTCATATCACATCGAAATGGATTTCTTTTAATTATTAGAGTGACATAACAAAGACAAAATGGAGTCTCAAATTTTAAATGAGTTAAAAAATATACTAAATCACTTGATCACGAATCATATTTACCCCTAAAAGCACACATATATGTGTGTGAGCCATGGTGGTCGAATTAGGCGCTCATAAACTTTTAAGAATGGAGAAATCAGTACTTTACAAACTGTTGGCCGATTTTTATTTATTTATTTATGGCACAGAAACCTCCATCCACTAAACAACACATTTTACTGCGGATGCTACTGACAAATGTTTATAGCCAAAATTTATGTTGTTTTGTAAAACGAGTATAAGTATTCATCTGTAAAAGCCACCAAACTGTGGCAGCCATTTTCTCGCCTTTTTCACCTGAAACAACAGGTAACCCTGTCTTCTTAAATAGCATATTATATCTCCACTTCTATGCAAAATAGACTAATACTTTTAGTCACCATATTCAAGAAAAGTTAACAAGCTTTAACTTGATAGCAATTACTCCATATGCCTCAAAATTGATGAGCACCTGATTCCATTATGCTGTGACATGTGCATTCCTGCAACATTCCTTCCTCCAACCACACTGAATGGGGATTCCTATAAAGATCCTCTCATTTCTAAAAATGTATTTCTAAACACTTCTATAACATACAGGAAACGAGGGAACTTAATTTTGTATAAAATTGTATTTCACTGCAAAAGAAAGAGAAACAAAATTTGACCAACTTAAGCATTATCTTTCTTTCTTCAAAAATTTAGAAAAAACACCCAAACAAATAGAAAAAAATGAACAGTTAAATATAAAACACTGCAACGGGCAGCAGACCATACCACCAATTTAACCAGTTGCTAAAGGTGCTGCGTAGTTGAGTAAAAAGAAACAGGTTCATGATGAGTCTCAGTTACAAGGAAGGAGAAAAAAAAAGCGAAGAAAAGACAGCTGAAACCCTTGAGCACCATAGAACAGAACCAATCACAAGGAATAAAGACTGTTTATTCCTATTTTTCCTTTTTTTTTTTTTTAAGCTCTACATAGATCTCCATGAAAATAAAATGTCTTGCCACCAGACTGAATGAAGCTTCAGTGGGAGAAAAGTATGCTGTAAAATCAATAGATAAAGACAAGATCCTGTGCTGATTACAAATTTCCCACGATATGAACATCTTCAAAGTAAGAAAAGAGCACATTTTAGGTCTCATATTACAGAATGAAAAGTAAGGGCACAAATTAACCCACTCAGTACCATAACAGCCGTAGCCGGCCGCTTCCGTTTCATAAGTCTAGTACCATTACGGCCGTAGCCGGCCGCGCGCTAGTAACGTTGTTTCTAGGGAAGTGTACACGCTTGGTAACCATCGTATTTAACCCGCATTTCGACCAAGCAGAAAATAGATAATCATTCTCTTCTTGAGAGCAGCAGGGACATAACTCTGGAAATTTTAGTTGGACTAAATTCAATGTAAACAAACCATTTCACACGGGTCGCGCAAGCTAAGATCGAGCGTTCTTCGCAAGCCGCAGGCATTGCGTTCAGACTGATTTAGGCGAACTTTTGGATAATTTTAATGAAAATATCAGTGCTGGGGGAGAAAACCCACAGAATGGTAGCAATTGAAGTGAAAGTGACATTGATGGTGATCTAATTGTGCCTTTGGGGGGTGATTCGGACAATGAGAATGAGGTCAATGAGGAGCATGACTAGATCTAGATCTACAACTCGGCTGATTTTATCTTCAATTATGAAATACAGTCAACACACACAGTAAACAAGTAATTTAAAAATTAAAATTTATTCATTTGTGAAGAACTTGTTTCAAGATTTTTTTTTATCAATGGATTGGTTTTTTTATAATGATTTTTTTAAAATACCCACTACATCACAAACACGGATTTATTCCCCTTTGCGTGGTCCTGAGCCATCTTCCCACTGGAAATCCAGTGGTACTGAGTGGGTTAAAGGTGTTGAGCATTTTCTAGAATTTAAGATCTAATACAGCCTATTTCTTTCCTATTACACATATTAGGAAATAGACACACCTGAATAAATTTTTCGGCCATCATAAAAGCCACTAATACGCTGTTCTGGTTGTCTTTTGACTTGTGAGGTTTTCTGTATTTGATAAGGTTCACACACAGACTTTACCTGCTTTGCTATGTTCCCAATAGTCTGTGAGCTAACAGTTGTCGCCAAATCCTTTTGTTTTCTTTTCCGTGGTTTTTTAACTGGCTCTGGCTCTTCCATGGGCTCTGACTGGAGGTTAACTTGACATAATATGCTTCCCAGGAAGTCAAAAACCTCATCCTGTTCAACAAAACATTCGTAAGGACAGTGACTACATAGGGTGAAGTCTCAATTTAAATCAACTGATACAAAGCTTTACAATACAGAAATTTTGAATGAATTAAAAGACAAATTGTGTTAAAGGTGGTAGTTTATTTATCAAAATGAGATGTTCACACATGTGAGAAAAGTGAACATTACTTTGGGTATTTCGCATTAACTTTTATTTTTTAGTGACAAAAAAAAAAGCCAAGGCAAATGGACTCTGCATATATATATTGCAAATGTGCTACAGAAACAATACAAGTGAATTGTACAACAACACAACAGAAATCTAAAGGTTTGTGACTTAAAGCATGGTCAAAAAAGGAGATTGCAATACTTCGTTACTTCAGTAACTGCTGTCAAAAGTCCCACCAATCAAACACTAAAAAACTATTGGACTGATCCCTCCAAAACAAAAAATTAACTTGGTAGCAAGAAAAGCTAGATTACAGTGTGGCTTCCACATACATAGCAGAAAAAGGAAAAGGAAAAAAAAATCTGAATTCTGAAACATCATGATTATACCCGTCAAATCTTTGCAGCACCCATTAACGGCTCTCATAAGACTAAACCCCACTCCTCTTCCCTAAAATAAAACCCTCCCCCACAACAATCACCACAGGTACATAATGGCAAATGCTTTACATCATTAGACGAGGTAAAAACCTACCATGATACATCGGTCAACCATAGATTGTGTGACATTGCAGCTCCGTTTCTTCGCCCGGCACATGCGCAGGTGATCATCTGCCCCGCCCACTACAACAAGCCCCGTCTCCACTCGCAGTTTCTCGCGGACCTCCTCCAACATATCCAAAGAGTTGGCGTTAGCGAATTGGCCCACAATAAACAGGGTAGGTGTTTTGCAGCTGTACAACTGATCCTCTATATCCTGAAAGTGGATGGAAATAAATTTTAGCATGAGTTTGATAGTCTGCATTTATCAGTATTTTCCTATCTCATGGAACAGAAAAAAGGGTAAAAAATCTTCTGAAAGAGGACAATTCAAATTATAGTCACAGAAGAAATAAGAGGCCCACTCTGAACAGTTGAATAAAAACATGTAGTGTAAAATCAAACTTTTTAAAAGATAATCATTGTAACATGGTTTGAACACTTTGCTAATGTGGGACTACCTGATACTGACTCTACATATGGTATCAGAACTGACTGTATCTGATTTCAGACATACAATGGCAGTGTTTTTAGAGTGTACATTTGCTAGCCCCAAAACGTCTGCTCAAAGTCTATACTCCTTTCTTTTTACTTCATACTCCTATCTATCTGCATCTGCAAATCTTAAATATATTGACTGCAAAAAACACTCTTCATGTAACTGAATGGAAGTTCCCTGATCAAACACAAGCTCCTGAACCCTAACTCGGAACATTCAAATCTTAATCGGCAAAGCAGTCCACAAGCGCAAAACATCACTACTCTATATATTGGTACCACATAGTTAGACACAGGCTGTATTAAATTAAAATTTGGACAGCTAAATTAGCACAGCAGCCAGTCCTGACCTTGTATGAAACAGTTGTAAGGGCTTCCACTACCCTATACTGGATATTCATAAAGAGTAAAACAAACATTCCAAGAAAATGTAATGACAAACCATTAAAACAAAAAGCTCCAATTTTACTGCAGGCTTCTAAGTGCATATTATTTGCCAAATATACTTACCCATCTGTTGCCACTGACTCCCATTGTAGGAAAGCCTAAGCACACAACAGCCTGAACAATTTCCATTAAAGCTACCTATGGGAGAGAAAAATAATGGTCATTAGTCTAAACTCTTACTTTGTCTCGAAAAAAATTGTTATATATAATATAAGTCGGATGGGAAAAACAGTGACATGTGACAGGGGGGGGGGGGGGGAGAGAGAGAGAGAGAGAGAGAGAGAGAGAGAGAGAGAGAGAGAGACAGAGAGAGAGAGACAGAGAGAGACAGACAGACAGACAGACAGACAGACAGACAGACATACAGACAGACAGACAGACAGACAGACAGACAGACAGACAGACAGACAGACAGACAGACAGACAGACAGACAGACAGACTTGGTCTTTTTAATTTTCCCAAATTATGGTGTGATAACTTTACATGGATCAAAATTCCTATGCAAATATTTTGAAAAGTCTGTTAGATACATTGTACTAAGAGTGCATACATATTTAGAATGATATCATACAACTTTATTCAAGTTGGCTGAATGTCAACAGGCATGTGGACATCTGGCAAGCTTATAACCCAGACCATATACATTTTTTTTTAAAATGTTCTTTTCATAAAAACCATATTTGCAAAATACTGGTTTCCACTTCCTGAATAAGTGACTGAAAGCCAGGTTACTTGCAAAAGTTTTTAAAAATTACAAGGAAACATACAGCAAAATTCTTTTATTTTAAATTAATGGAGCTGTAAAGCGTACACAACAAAATCATTGGTGACTGAAAAGTCAACAGCATTGGTCTCAGTGTTGGTGTTTTTATTTTTCATGCATACGTACTCCAAAACAGGTTCAAGTTTTACTCTTAGTTTGGCTTCCACTATTGCCAAATTAGAAGCAAGTGGTATTAAATAAGAACTCAAAATCCATGTTCAAAAGTATTCTCACATGACAAGCGACTACAGCTCCAACATGCCATCCAATGAGGACAATGGGTCTACCTGGGTAGTGACCTTTCACCTGTCAACAAATGATATGAGTTTTCCAATTGTAATTTGTTATTAATTTTTGTTTTTTAAATACATCATCCAGAGGAAAAAAAATCTTTTAACAGAATGGGAGAGGGGAGGGGGGAGAGAATAGACTGCTACAGACTGCAGCAGCCTGCAAAAGTTGGTAGCAATATTGTTGTAAAGGGAAGTGCATCAATATGAAAATGATTATTTTCTGTCACTTATTCATTAAACATTTCAAGAGTTAAAATAACTGGGATATGCGTAAGAAAAAAAAAAGAAATTTTTTGCAATTCTCTGGTATTTTTTTCAAAAACATCTCCTGTTTTAGTAGAGGTTTTAAGGCGCTCGCAACTGCATAAGGTCATATGAGCGCCAAGGGGTGGATGTCAACAGAGAAGTGCTTACAGTGAATCAGACTTACTCTGCTCACCTCTCTAACTTCAACAGCACAAAGTCTGCTTCAACTATCAAGGCACCCCGGAAATAGCGGGTCACAAGAGTGTGACAAACATACGAAAGAAGTAGAGGAAAATGACGATAGTAAGGATTAGGAAAGAAAAAGCAGCAGTTCCCTGTTGTAGTTCAGGCACAGCTATGAGCATGACATTCTTGGATCAGCTCATTTACAATTCTACTGTGCATTAGAACGAGAAATGTCCCCCTTTGGGAATGGCCAAAACAATAAGCAGTCAAACCTGTCTAAGACAACCACCTAATGTCAAAGAGAAAAGTAGTTATCATAGGTGGCACCGCCCCGGGGGGTGAAACATCTCCAAAGAAAGATTGCGATGATAACAATAATTGAGCATCAAATTTTTGAGTCGTGCAAGATAAAAGTCTCTTCCAAATTGTGTGAATATATAACAATATACAGTCAAACCTGTCCAAGACAACCACCTAATGTCGAGGAGAAAAGTAGTTATCTTAGATAGGTGTTCCTCTTAGACAGTGTCATTATGATAAAATGTTACAGTAGACACCTGGGAAACACCCTCCTTGTAAATGCTTCAAAAATGATTCAAAAGTGAAAATAAAATGAACAATAAAAGAGGAATGGAACAAACAAACAAGCAAAAAAAAAGTGACTTTGCCAAATCATGGTGGTTCTGCTGTAAACTTACCTCTAATAACTTTGAGCGCACAGTTGCAATCATGTTTTCCACACAGTTGGCAATGGTGATGCTGGTGCTGTTATTGATGGGAATCACATTGATCACTTTGCCCATGGCAGCCATTTGACTGTACCAGAACTTATGCCGCTTCGAGGATAATGGGTTTGAGACAAAAGATGGGGCACTTGGTATCACTAGGAGCAGTGGATTCTCTGGCAATTTTTTCTGGAAAAGAACATTTACAGAGCATTGAAAAAACAACCACTTCACACATACAAGAGTCCAAACGAAAATGACGTGGGATGAGTAACATGATAATTCAAGATATTATGTGGATCTGTATTTGCTTCTCCAGTCCTCTAAATCAAAACAAGATTGAGCAAAATTAAGAAAACACAACAGGGAACTGCAAACCAAACAGTGATTTAAAAAAACTGTTAAAAATCCCAAAGAATAGACGTCAAATCTTCATTGAAAGTACAACTCAGTATCCAACTTTCTAAATCTAACTACAGACACATATTCAACTATCACAAATGAACAGTTAACTCACTGAGCACCACGCCCCGATTTGCCTCCAAGCCCCAGAGGACAACCAATTTCCCCCACTTTTTTAAAATTCATAAAAAATTGAAATGACATGCTATTTCTTTGAAATTTTCTGTGCTTTTTCATAAGATATGGGTTTAACAGGCACAGTTAACACATTGTGTGAAGAATGAACGACAAAAAAATGTAAGGGACAGGAAGTTGGACAAATTTGCCCCAGAAAAAATGTTTTTTTTTTAAAAAGGAAGTGATGTGACAAAGCAGAAATCTAATAAACTTACACAAAATGGTTGTGGCAGTGTGGGTTTATGTGCAGGAGAATGAAGCATGAGTGTGTACAGTGAAGTAGCAAAAAAATGTAAGTGATAATTAATTTTGAAAAAGGAAAAAATAAAAATAAATCTAGATTTAGATCTTCCACGGTGACAGGCTGAGAAGTGTTTTCATTGTCAGTGTTGCTAGTGCTAGGACTAGATCTAGATCTGTCAATAGATGTCCAAGGTCTGGGTACATTATATATCTTCTCCACTTTGAGTGCTGATTTGAACTAGAGTTTAGTACTGGGGCTAGATCTAGATCTATCATCATTCCCAGCCGGACCAGGCTGCGTACTCGCTGACGAGTCATATTCATGATCGAGAAACGATGTTGGTCTAGATCTAGACCTAGATCTAGACCTAGATCTAGCTAATGTCATTTTCTCAGTCATTTTCATCACTGCTAGGCAAATTCACATTTCGATTTATGAAGTTATCTATCGGATACTTCGTTTTCATTTAATTCTTCACCAAAATTATCGAAAGTTTCAATAAACTTCGACACAACTCGCCGTGCCGTGCTTTGTGTACGAGAAACAACAACGAACACCGCGGAAGTTCCTTATTTTCAGTTGTTCAGTCCGTTGGAAATATAACTCGTTTATTCGCACTAAAAGAGGTGAATATACACAAAACACACAGAACTAGCTTGTCGATATCCTGTTTAAACAACTGGGGCTATTTGCAAGCATTTTTAAACTGCTGGGTTTACTTTATAGTCAATTATAGTTGAACCCGCGAACGCTGCGGTTGCTGTCCCCGACGCGAATTTTACCAGGCCGTGTATGCTGCAGGAACGGTGCTCAGTGAGTTAAAAGAAATTATTACATTGCACAATCTACTTTCACCAGATAATGTCTAGAGCGATCAAAAAACCACCAATACAATTTGTAACCAAAAAGGAAAACTTAGAATTTTGCCATAAATCAGTTTAATAAAAATACTCACCAGTTTCTGTTGATTGATGCTTGCTAGAACTGGATCCCATGACTTTTTCAACAAGGCATTCAGAGACTCTGATGACAATGTATCTTGCTTTAGTGTTGTTCCACTGATGAGTCGGTCAATTAGTGAGGGAATCTGGATAAGAGCACAGTACATTTTTACCATAAATATCACTTTCAGACAGTTTATCTCGAGGTGCACATGCATAAAGAGAACTTCATTCCCCCCCCCCCATTTAAAAGTTAAATCAAGATAAAATTCATAAATTCTAGCCTATTCAGCACATTCTCTAATGAAAAATAACTGAATATCCATAAATAACTGACACGGTACCAAAGCAGTAAAAATCAAGCAGCTTACCTTTGCTTTGAGTGTTTGAAGAACTTCTAAATAGGAAATAAAAAGCTGTCCTCGCAGATTTTCCACAAACAAATTGTGAATCCAGAGAATAAGAGTCATATCCTGAAAATTAACAAAAAATGAAAATTAAGTACATTGTTACCATTTTTTAAAAAATTAATAGAAAAGTCATTACAATATCCAGAAATTCAACAAGATAAACGAACTCCACTGTGATCTTTCACAGTTATATTTTTTCCTCTGATCTTAATAATATGTTACTAGCTGTCACTAAAAAACGTTACAATAAGCCAATATGGTCACAAGCCAAAGTTTTAACTATCCTTTTAACAATGCAGAGAAGATACTACTACAATATAAATACGAACCCATCCAACATTGGCGAATGCTTGGCGCACTCTTCTGGCAGCTTTGTCTACTTGAAGACGCCTCAAAATAGGCTCATTTTTTGTCTGCGTGAAGGAAAGAATATAAGAATCCATTTATTCACAGAAATGAGTTCTTGAGTAATAAGCTATTCTGAAAGAGAACTTAAATTTGAAAAAAAATAAATAAGCATACACAGAAGCACAACCGTTTTCTTTAGATGCTTAAAAAGACATAATCTACAGATTTAAAAAAATAGGCTAGTACAAAAGCATGATGATTATTATAGAAATGTGCACTTTCTGTCGGTTAATCATGGAAAGTGCTCTTTATCAATTAAAATATCATTATATCATCATATCCTTTGACAATTGTTTCAAAACATCAATACTGCAAAGCTCCAAATACCTGGTACACAACACCTCCTTGTCTTCAACATGACAACAAATATTAGTACAAAGAAAGCCAAATGGTGCAGGGATAGGTGGGGCCACTGCCACACTCTTCCACTCATCATCAAATGTACAGAGGGGAAAGAAAAATCAAAAATCAAAAACAAGGGTGGAAATCAAAAGTAGGAAAGTAAAACAAACAGAAAGAGTAAATACATTGAGCCGAGCTATAAGAGCACTTTTGTATCTACCTACATAACCACGATAATACAGAGAAGCAAAGCAGAAAGTTTAGGAACACAATCACATATCAAAAGAGACTAGACAGTGCAGATATGAAAAGAAGAGGATCTAAAGTGGAAATACAAAAAGGCAAAACTTAGCTACGGAAGAAAAAATTCTGTCATTCGAAACAAAATAGATCTAGAGTAAAAACTAAATGAACAAGTCAGACTCAAGGTGTAAATAATATACCTCCTGAATGGACAGTCTTGAGAGTCTGTCAGCCTGTAAGACCCTCATGACCTTGGCAAATACTCTGTTTTGAAGAACTGACCAAGAATTTCTGAAATTGAATGACAATTCTAAAATGTTAAAAGAAACCAAAAAAACCCATAAAAGATATATACTTGTCCATTTTTCTAACATAATAGGAATACCTTGCAATTGTAGGCCTAATTGTTGATGTTTTATGCCCCTATCCACACAATTAAGATCATTTAGAAAGCGAGCTCAGGGCCACCCCGGGTTGAGTGGAATAAAACATCTAAGCACAAAGATGAAGATAGTCGATTATTTTTTTTTTTTAAGACCTCTCTGGGCCAGAATCAAACACAAGTATTCTGCATGCGATGGCAAAGAACGTGAAGGCTACACCATACACACCAGTGGGAATATCATGAAAAGACATCAAGGTACTCTCAAAATATATAGTGCATGTAAATTTCACAACAACCTGAAGTCAGTACGTGAGGAAAACATAGTAATGGCAAACAGGAGCAATATGCTTCAATTTTTATTCTCAGCCCAGCAATCTCATTTTCGGAGTAAAAATAAAAATATACTCCGATAACTTTGATGTTGAAATTTCACCATAGAGTGTACAAATACACTATATTGATCAAGGAGAAAAAAAAAGGAAACAAAGGGTACAGTTCTGTACCTCATAGCAGCAATATTTTCTTCCCAGTCATCTCTCATTTCTGACTGATCAGGACACAAGAGAGCAGCGTGTTTCTCACAGTCCACCATCTGTGATCGAGCTTTGTTCACATCGTAAGGCAGGGTGGACACAGGGTCTTCTCCCTCAACATCAATATCTGTATCAGTGCTGTAGCAAGAAAAGAAAAACATGTTATGCCTTTTATCATAAAAATAGGAGCTCATAGGGGTAATGTACGGTAGGAAACATTTGAATAAAATTGATGCTACATTCAGACACATTTGTTCAAGCAATAAAATAGTTCTCTTGTTTGTTGTAGTATGAGTTTTATGGTGCTCGCAACTGCATAAGGTCATATGAGCACACGCAACACAAGTTGGTTGCATTCACAATAGTTCACTGCACGGCTTGGCTCGGGTCAACGATCAGACTTTAAAATGTTAAAAACTTGAGGTAAAATAATTCTTTACTGCCAATACATCAAAGAAATACATTTGTAATAATAAAAGTAGAATGAGTTACGCTACTGTCAGTTGCTGTATTTGTTGAGAAATTCAAGTTAGTCAACATAGCATGCAAAGGCTTCATAGGGGATCTAAAAACTGCCAGTCGTTTTCTTTGCATTCCCCTACAAAATCTCCGGGGTAGTTGGCCGCAGGTTCTTCAACCTGCAGTGAAACTGATTTTTATGTATGTGACCATTTTTCCTACTTAGCATGGCCCCTTGCATTCAGGCAGCTACATTCCAGTTTCGAGGGTACTTTTTATGTTTTATACTGACTGAAATATTTTCAGTTTTGTTCTAAATTAATATTGAATTTTTCACGGGTGATGGCCATAGCCTACTCTTAACGATTTTAGGATCCTGTGCGATTCTTGCAAACGGGACCTCCAAGATCTTCCACCCTTATCCGAGAAGGCTAGGAGAGGATCTTACCTTCCATACGATCAGGGGTTCGGCTGAAAGACAGCAGTAATAAAGGGCCAGGAGTGGCAGAAAAAAGATCAAAGAGTAAGAAAGAGAGGCGCACATAGGATACTAGGGAAGGGGAAGAATGTGGAGATGAAAGCAAATGATAGAACAAGACCAAAGAACACGAAAGGAGGTGAAAGGAGAAAATTTTAGAGAAGCAAACGTTTCGTCACTGTCAGGTTTCGAACTCGGGATCTATTAAATGAGTGCCAAACACAGTACCTCTAGGCCACGAGAACCCCCCCCCCCCACCAACAGCCAGTTATAACACCTTCTGTAGGAAATAAATAGCAGGACATAAATAAGCCTTGTAATTACAGTTTCAAAACCTCTGCGTGCAACAATGGAAAATGTTGATTTTCCAATCAAATACAGCAACTGACAGCAGCGTAACTCATTCTACTTTTATTATTACAAATGTATTTCTTTGATGTATTGTCAGTAAAGAATTATTTTACCTCAAGTTATTAACATTTTAAAATCTGATCGTTGATCTGAGCCAAGCCGAGCAGTGAACTGTTGTGAATGTAACCCACTTGTGTTTCACGTGCTCATATGACCTTATGCAGTTGCGAGCGCAGTAAAACTCTTACTAAAACAAACAAAAGAACTATTTTATTGCTTGAAGAAATGTGTCTGAATATAGCATCAATTTTATTCAAGGGTACTCAAAATATGAATAAAGACAACTAGATCAAATTCTTGCACAAGTTGAGAACAAAATTGCTGTCCCTGAGCCTACTTTTCTTAGTAACGGTCAACAATCCTCGGACAGATCCCCCAAAGAATCAAGGTTCTATGCTTCATTCCGTCTTTACAAATTTGCTAGTGCTGCTTACAGCCTACTGAAGAAAATTTGACTGTTGATTTGGCTGTTTTTTCCAACATTTCATCTCATTTAAAACATATGAATCAGCGGGTGTCTTTATAAATAATCTTCAAAGAGCGCAAGTGGAATATGAACTAAAAACCATACCATTTAACTAATTCTAGATACATAATAGGTATGTTATAATAAAATTAAACAAACAAGAAAGTTACAAATACACACACCTTTCTTTGTCTCGAGTTTCTGGGCGAGGAAATTTTTCCATGAATAGCATACGCAAGGGTTGAGCATTGCTGGCATCTGGATGAGTGCTCCATGGTTTTGCGTAGCAATGGTCAATGCACACAATACTCACTTCATTTGGATTTCGGTGGGAAAAAGGAGAAAACCTCACAGGATTATCCTCCATTTTGATCATGTCTCTCCCTAAAGAAAACAGCAATCAATGGACAAAATATTATTAATTATATAATTTGAACTTATAACCTGATTTTACAACTTACCCTAAATTTTATAAGTTTGGCAAAGAAAATATCTCCTTCTGAATTGTTTTGTTAGCAGGGTTGGTGATTTTTTTGATTTTTTAAAATAAAAATCAAAAAAATCGATTTTTTTGATTTAAATCAGATTTTTTTTATTTAAATCGGATTTTTTTTTTTTTTTTTTTTTAAATGTCGACACAGTTTGGGATTTTTGGTGGCTAAAAGTATGTTCTTTTAGTGCAAAATGCATTGTCTTTATTTTAACTAATGATTAATTTAAGCAACTGCAATTTTAGAAAGCCTTAATCTGCTATATCAGGGAATTATGGCTACAGACAAAAAATGAAGAAAATGTCAGTCTAAAAGGAAGGGGGGGGGGGGGGGGGGGTAATTATGCATAGATAAATTTGCATTTTATTTTTCATTACAGTGTGTGTGTGAGCACGCGCTTGTGTTTGTCTAAAAAGAAAAAGAAAATGCTAATTTCAATTATGAAAAAAAAGTAAATTGAATACTGTATTATTTTACTACTAATACAGTGACAGGGGGGGAAAGCAGACTTTTAAGCAATTTTAGTCTACTAAACCTTATATCTGTTTTATAAAACCAAGGAAAGGAATTCTGAATGTTTAAAGATGTAAAAACAGAAGAAAAAAAATTTTAAGTGATTTAAATCACTGAGTTTTATTTTTAAAATCAAGTTGATTAAAATTTTTAAAAATCAACTGATTTAAATCGACCCGATTTAAATCAACCCAATCCTGGTTTTCAATTATGAAAAAAAAGTAAATTGAGAACTGTATTATTTTACAGTGACAGGGGGGAAAGCAGACTTTTTGAATGATTATATTAGTCTACTAAACCTTATATCCGTTTAAAATAAAACCAAGGAAAGGAATTCTGAAAGTTTAAATATGTAAAAACTGAATACATTTTTTTGAAAAGTGATTTAAATCACTGATTTTTATTTTTAAAATCAAATTGATTAAAAAAATTTTTTAATCCACTGATTTAAATCAACCCAGTTCTGATTTCAATTATGGAAAAAAAAAGTAAATTGAATACTGTATTATTTTACAGTGTAAGGGGGGAAATCAGACTTTTAAGCATGATTATATTAGTCTACTGAACCTTATATGATCTGTTTTATGAAACCAAGGAAAGGAATTCTGAATGTTGAAATGTGTAAAAACCGAATAAAAATTTATTTTTTTAAAAGTGATTTAAATCACTGATTTTTATCAAAAAAATCAAGTTGATTTAAATCAAAAAAATCAACTGATTTAAATCAACCTGATTTAAATCAACCCAACCCTGTTTGTTAGGGGTTTTTTTGCTTAGGATTTTTTTTAGGGGGGGGAGGGGTTGGGGGGATGGGTAAAAGAGAATGTAACCATTGAGGTGTTGTCTCCCTGATATCTACAAAATAAAGTTTATTTGTTATTCAATGTATGAGAAGCAACAATTTATTTATATACACAGGACAGAGAGGATCCGGAGTGAAATTGTACAAACACAGGTGTGGTTAACATAAGAAGAAAGATAGGAAAATATAAAAAATATATAGATAGATCCTGAAAACATTGAACAGGCCTCAAGCCAGTAGTACAAACAACTATTTGATCAGATCTAAAATTACAAGCTGGTAAGTAATATAATGCAAGACACCGTTTCAGCAACAGCCAGCATATATTTCTTGTAGCTGTGCAGTCCCCTCCATGATTCCTTGCCAGGCATGTACAACATACTGAACGCCAAATGTCAATAACATAAGTTACTTTTCATTTAAAAAGAACAAAAAAACATTCAGACGTTCCCAACTTTCAGTCTTCACAGTCACTGCAATGCAACAATAAGATATATATATATATGCCCTCTCCCCAATCTGTTTTTATCAGCCAGTAACATCAACTGCTGAACCCCACAAATGAAGAAAGCAGTCAGGTTGAACCCAAACAACCACCGGTCAAAGAAAATCACCTCTACAAACGATAACTTCCCACTCCCCCTCTCCCCCCTTGTGTTTTTTCCATATTATAATGACATTGTCCAAGAGGACCACATTTCTCCTCAATAATGGGTGGTCATCTTAGACCAGTTCGACTGTTATATATTGTAATGGGGAAAGAAATGGCTATCATGTGATAGTTTTACGTCACACTATCCTTTGAAGACATACAGAATACATTAAATTTTCATTACTTGAACTTAGTTTTATATCAATTTAAGCTCGTCTTTGTTTGGGTGACCTAAATGTTGATGAACTTATTCTTTATTCTGTCATTTACCTCCTATGCATAAATATTCAGGTTTTTCCGACACTACAACTAGATCTAGATAATAATATGGTAGTGTCAATTGCCACCGAGTGACGCAGTGGCAATTAACGCTACTGAGTTAATTGGAGCTCTTTTACATTGGTGAGTAGATCTATTCTATGTGTGCTCGGTGTTCTGCGTTCGTGAACTTCCACTTATAATGCACAACTCCTCTCTCTTTGTCCCTGTGTGTGTGTGTGTGTGTGTGTGTGTGTGTGTGTGTGTGTGTGTGTGTGTGTGTGTGTGTGTGTGTGTGTGTGTGTGTGTGTAGGGGGGGGGGGGAGGTCCTCTCTCTCTCTCTCCCCAACCCTCGTCCCCCGGAGTTATATTCCCTGATATATAAGCGTATTTCTGCTTGAGTTTGAGTGCGTTTGCCGCCTACTTCTAAAATCAACTGTGTTGGTACTACACCGAAGTGTGGGCGGCCTACGTCTCATTCAAAACACGTCAGTTGAAGTTGGTACATGTAGCTCTAGATGTTTATCCAAAGAAATCAGAGAACAAATTGGCCCGCTTAGAATGAGGAGCTCAAAAGGATAGCCAGGAAACAAGACTTCCATTTTACTGTACAGAAACTTTCAAATGAGCTTGAATTTATGCAAAATGATATTACCTGATAAAAATAGGTTAACAGATAGTTTTGAATACAATTGTGCAGATAAAAAGAAGAATTGAAATGCAAAACAAAAATTGACCTACATCTATACTATTTCCTTTCGAACCCCGGAATGTGTGCAACTACTCGTTACGACGGCACTCTTCAGGAGAAGTGGTCCCCGCCTAACTCCATAGACATTCATACACATAATCGGAAACAAAAATGGAATTCAAGTAAAAAAAACTGACTGATTTGCCAGGGTGAAAGACCACCGGTAAATTTATAGAAAAGGTCCAAAGAAATTAGAGACTATTTTCGGCACTATTCTAATGTTTTTTTAATGGGTTGAGAACAATTGTGGCACTAAAAACTAAAAACTGTCACAAACCAGTATTTTGTGAATTTAGCAGGGCGGAGACTATACGTCATTTGAAAATGCCTTCAAAAGGTAATGCGAGAAAACAAAACTGATCGACCTTGGCAGTAACCTATTTTGCATTTAGTCACACAATAAAAACTAAAATCCTTAATGTTGACATACAAAAAATGGAGCCCCCCCCGTTCACACCTTACACACACACACACACACACACACACACACACACACACACACACAGTCAAACACGCACACTCACTCACTCACACACACTCCACTCCATTCGCAAATTATCAACAAATCTCGAGAACGGAACCGTTCGGAGAAATAGAGTTCAAGTTTACTTTCGCGAGCGTTCGGAGAAATAGAGCCGGCCTTTTTTTTACTGGAGAGGCGAAAAATGTTTATACATTATTATTACGAAATGACTATTTCTCCGAACGCTGAGGAAAATAAACTTGATCTCTATTTCTCCGAACGGTTTCCGTTCTCAAGATTTTTGTGTTATTTGCGCGATTTAGGCGTCATCTTTCATTCTGCCATTCTGTGAGGACTGGGAAGCAGCATTTTTTGCATCGAATTCAATTTCTAGAGCTAGATCTAGAGATTTTCAAATGTCTGAATATTCAGATACGTCAGTTGTGGATGGGGTATCATTCCCGGACTATTATATTTCATTTGAAAATGCCTTCAAAAGGTAGATCTACAGTGAGAAGTCACCCCTAAAGCAAACACAAATCCTTCATGTAAAAAAAAATAAAATCCCTTCACGCACCCCCCGCCCCGTTCACATCTTATACACACACACACACACACGCACACTCACTCACACACCCACGCATACTCACTCGCACATACACACACACACACGTGCGCGCGAGCGGGCCACTCCATTCGCAAATTATTAACAAATCTCGAGAACGGAAACCGTTAGGAGAAATAGAGTTCCAGTTTATTTTCCCGAGCGTTCGGTGAAATAGATATATCTAGATCTAGAGCCGGCCTTATTATTACGAAGTGACTACTATTTCTCCGAACGCTCGAGAAAATAAACCTGATCTCTATTTCTCCGAACTGTTTCCGTTCTCGAGCTTTTTTGATTTGATTCAGCCATTCTGTGAGGACTGGGAAGAAGCATTTTAAAAAATCGAATTCAATTTCTAGAGCTAGAGATTATTAGATGTCTGAATATCAATAGACCTATTCAGATACTTCAATTGCACTTACTTACAAACTTTACTTGGTTGGGGCAATGTTCCCGGACTATAGGCTACTTCATTTGGAAATGCCTTCAAAAGGTACAGCGAGAAAACAAGACTGCTCGACTTTGGCAGTAACCTATTTTGCATTTAGTCACCCCTAAAGCAAAGACAAAAAAAAAAGGAAGTGCCTATTTGCAACGCTGTGTTGCCATTAGCGCCAGAGCTAAAATAAAACGCCGCGTTGCGATTAGCGCCAGTGCTAAATAAAACGCTATGTGTTAGCCAAGACTATATGAAGCTTAATCTACCTTTCGTTGTTGGAAGTTCTGATGGCCGAAGTGACAGCGCGTCTGCGTTTAAAGCCAAACCATTATTTTACCAGCGTGAGTTCAATGCGGCCCAGGAATTTTAAAAAAAATATTTTGGGTCCTCTTCTCTACTGACCAACAAATTTTTAACATAATTATATCTTGTTGCTTTGTAGTTTTTTTTATGTACTGGTGAAGCATGCATATTCTGGTTTTGTCCCCAAGAGGAGCTCTGTACAAAGTAGGCCTTAGTATAGTCTGTACTTTTCCATTTTCCACCAATTTAGGCCTGGTTAAAGTTCACTAGTGGCTTTCCTTGGTCTGTGAGTCTATTTTTAAAAAAAAATTTTTTAAACTTTTTGGCTCAGGAGCAGAAAAAAAAACCTTCCGGGACCGGGATTCGATGCCGCGCTTGGAAACACTGAACATAAGACTTAGGCCAAGCGAACGTAGACAGCTTGTATACGTTCTCTAGGCCTAACTTAACCCTCGTCCTGCGGGGGCCAGGTTTATGTTGCCCGATAAGCCTATTTCGGCACCACGCCTGCGCTCTGGTCCCGAGTCAGTCTAGCCCCTGGCTCAGCGCACGCACATCATCTCACGTGAAATTCGGGTCCCGCGTCGGATCCCCATTCACGCAGGTCAAGTGTGTGTGCATTACTCTGCTTGAGTTTGGGTGCGTTTGTGGCCTTCTTCTAGAACCACCTGCGTTGGTTCGTAATCGAATACGTTTCAAAACACGCCAAGTTGATGTTTGTCCAATGAAATAATAGAAGAAATTGACCCACTTAGACATGAGAAGCTCGAAAGGATAGTCAGGAAACAAGACTTCCATTTTTCTATTAAAAAATCTTTCAAATGAGCTTGATTTTGTATGAAATGACACCATTGTGCAGGTACAAAGAACAATTTGAGTGCAAAACATTCGGAAATTGACCTATATTATCCCCTTTCGTACCTCAGGTCATTCCTAACTAGAAGAGCGTCTAGAAAGGTTATTCGAAAGGGCGTAACTACTCGTAATGTCTTATCAGCTTGTGAGAGGTGGTTATTTATGTGTTTGTGTTTGTAACACTTTATAAATTATAGAAAGCTATGAAAGATAGAGCGTTATTTTCATCATGGATTAACACACTCCCACAGTAGGCCTATTCATGGCGAAAACACACATTTCCCGGTGCGCGCTGTACACCAACAGTACACACTGAGTGACCCCGGCGGCCTGCCCGGAATGTCTGACGTAATCGGTTGCTGATAAGATTCGCATCTCAGCACAGACGCAGGACAAGAGTTAAAGAATATATATTTTTAGGTAGATCTAGAATCTATTCATGACGACACTGTGGACAGGAAAATACTGCTTACCGAGTTGCATCGTCTTGTTAAATTGTTATCCGAGCGTCTTTCGACTTACTTGCTCAAACTCAAAACTCAAATGATTATGAGAGATGAACAAGACTACATCTAGATCTAGTCTACTTTTGCGCAAACAATGTCAGAAACAATTGTTAGATCGGAAGACAACGTCAAAGAAAAAAGTCAAATCCTAGGAGGTTTAGATTTAACTCACTTCAGACGGGTCACACAACAGTTGCGTGACCCCTGCCGCGACGCTCGCGACGGTTCCCACAAGCCCTGCGTGACGAATTTTGGAATTTTTTTTTCGCTCTACAAATCACGCACGGATTGCGTGACCCGCCTTGTATCCTTGTTTGGCCAGGCCTAAGCTACTTTAACTTCGTTTCGTATCTCTGGGGCCCGTAGTTTTTAAGTTATTGAAGGTGAAGGACAGTGACCCCAACTGGGGTTGAACTGACCGGAACTCGCGCTTTTTTTTCTATACAGCTGATAGTAATCCGACAATCGCGTCGTAGTAACGGTCGAAGAAGTCGCATGAACAAGAATCACATAATTTCGCCGTTTTCGATACTTCTGTACGTTTTACTAGCTCTAGTGTCTCAGAATATGATGTGTCTGATAGTTGGGATCCAGGATATGTACCCGAACACGGCCCGAGTCGTAGTTTTAGGGCTAGATCTAGCACTAGTACTGGTGTTGTTGTTCGTGCCAACGAAATCACAACGTAGTGCCGTACACCTGTCTCATGTAATTCAGTGTATGGGTCTGAATCAACGCACAGACCAGCTTTTATATTTTCACCAAACACTCACACATGCATACAAATCAAATCAGAACACTTTGAACTTTTATTTTTGTTGTTGTGAATTTCATTCTACCTGTCACGTCTCTGGAATTTTTTAGGAAAATCAAATTCATGCCAATTTTTTTAAAAATCATACAAATTAAAGTGTTAGACTTAAACATCTTTAGTTTTTTGTATAAGATTAAGCTTGAATGTAACTTTACTGTGTCAAAAAATAATTACAATAGGTTGATTTTGAGAGTTGTGGTGATTTATTGAAATACTCCCAAAAACGCCAGTCTTCAACGCTTGTGACTGCTGAAAGGGCCCAGTAGCAAGTGAGTTAAAGTATTAAGAAACTGAGAAAGCTTCCTTCAGAATGCGACGTTGCAAATAGCGGCCGCCAAAAAAAAAATCCCTCCACCTCCACACCCTCTCTGTTCACACCTTACACACACACACACTCACACATATATATATGCGCGAGCGTAGGCCACTCCATTCGCAAATAAAACCAAAAAATCTCGAGAACGGAAACCGTTTTGAGAAATGAGTTCAAGTTTATTTTCCTGAACGTTCAGAGAAGGCCACCTTTATTCTCACCCCGGGTGAGAATAGCGCAGGCGAGTCTTTTAGCTATTCTCACCCGCTGTGCGTTCACCATAGCCTTGGCCAACCAGTGTGGTGTTCACCTTGAACCACAGAATTCTACACACTGAACAGAATTGTAGAATTCTGTGCCATGAACAAACGTTCAATTACTACTGTTAGCCTAAAAGCGTGCAATTTTGTCTGCGGGGAGTGGAGAGAGAGAGAGAAAGAGAGAGAGAGAGAAAGAGAGAGAGAGAGAGAGGAGTAAGCCTGGGGCGAGAACTTCCGGGCAAAACAAAATGGCGACCCGCGTAGTTCGGCTCGATTCGAAAAGTTTAATAGCATTAGCATCTTTGTAGATGACCAAATTAATTTACTTTTGTGTTTTAACATCATTTTTTAACTTTGTTTTGGTCGATTTGATCGTCCACACCAATAGACAGTCAGAAAGAGACCGAGAAAGAGAGAGAGAGAGGGGGGAGGAGTAGATCTTGCGAGAACTTCTGGGCAAAACAAAATGGCGACCTGCCTAGTTCGGCTCGATTAGAAAAGTGAA